TTTATTTACATTAAATATCAAAAGTACATCAAAACTGATTGAAGCTAAGGGCATACAAAAACTGTCCAACAACTATTAATTGATATCCTTGATACAAGGTATGCACAAAATGGAGAAAACATGTTGAAAAGTTTGCGAATTACTATTTAATTTGCATAGAGTCTAGTTTTTGGTATTTGACAATCGCAGACTCTGATCTATTGTGGATTTTTATTGATACTTCCTACTCTAAAATACAAGTAAGCATTTGATCTAGGGAAGTTCTTATCCTTTTTTTTATTTATTTTTTGAATTTCGATATATAATTTATGACCTTCTATTTCTTATGCAGAAAGAAGAGTTTCAACACACACCTTATGCTACAAATGCTTATGTAACAATAGGACCACTATGGAAACAAGTATTACAAGGTAAGGAAACCGATCTCTTTAAGATCTATATTGAGTGCTCATGAATGGGATGTTTGTTAAGTACATATTACTAATAGATTATTAATGTTATAATTGTGGATGTATGTATTTTATCCCTATTTATTGCAGAAGTAAAAGAAAAGGTTTAAATGGATTACCAGGGGTATGGATGTTAGAATCCATTGTGCTCCAAGGACAGCTAATAGCATGGCTGATTCCTTGGCAAAACAAGGGATTGGAAGAGCTCGAATGTTTTGGGCTATTTTGTAAAGCTTTTTGGTATTGGAAATAAGCTGTTTTATCTCCTTTTATATCTTGTTTATACCTTATTCATTTTAATTGTGAGCAAAATATTGGGGGAGTTTTACTGTGGACAATAGCAAGCTAATAGCATACATTTACATTATAAGAGGATCCTTCATTGAATATCCTAAATTGGAGATAATCTTAACATCTTACCAAAACCTTAATGGATTTGTTAATGATCAATTTGACATATTTTTCTTGGTCCACATACTAGGTGGCTGCAACCAAGGTTTTGAAAGCTAAAGGCATAGTTGAGGCATAATGGCTCAAAATGTGAGGGGCGAATCGATACGGCCCTTAAACAAAAGGTAAAGGCATAGTTGAGGCATAATGGC